CTGCTGCTGCTGCTGCTGCTGCTGATACTACTACTACTACTACAACTACTAGTTCGTTGCCGAAGATGACGATGAAATCCTGCAGCTCATCTGTGGACGTGCATGTGGCTGTGCAATCCGATCCTGGATGTATATGTACAATGTCTTGTGCAGTGGGGACACTGCAATGTCGTGGTTGGGGTGGTAGGATTATGTCTCCTCTGTCTTCTGATAGTCAGCTTCTCCTTGCAGTTTTATCACTGTTTCTGCTGGCAAGACGGACGGCCCTGCGCCAGGTGTTCCTTTCTGTGGCAGTTCGTTCGAGTGGGGGTAGCCTGTGCAAACTGGAGGTTTTCCTTTATTGTGTCTTTGAACCGCTTTTTTTGGCCTCCCGAGATTTCTTTTGCCACTTGCGAGTTCGCCGTACAGCAGTTGTTTGGACAATCTGAGGTCTTCCATGCTGATGACACGGCCGACCCATCTCAGTTGGGCTTTGGCGAGCTTGCTTTCTCTGCTTTCTGAGCTTGATCGGGTGAGGACCTCAATGTTGGTAATGCGATCTTGCCACCGGATGCCAAGTATGCTGCGGAGAGCCCTTTCGTGGAACTGTTCTAATTTGTTGATGTGCTTCCTGTAGAGTGTCCAGGTCTCCGAACCGTAGAGGAGGGAGGAGAGAACAACGGCTTTGTACACTTTGATTTTTGTCGACGGCCGGACATTGTGCTGTTTTAGTACCTTGTTTGTTTAGTCTACCGAGAGCTTGGCTGGCTTTGCTGATTGGTGAATCAATTTCCTGATCGATGGAGCCGTCTGCAAAGATGATACTTCCAAGGTATTTAAAGTTCTTAGTGTGCTTCAGGTTGTTGTCTTTGATAATGATTTTGGAGACAGTGGGTTAGTTTGTGGGGCAAGCTGGTGAAGAACTTCAGTTTTCACGATGCTTATTGTAAGTCCCAAAAGTTTTGAGGCTTCTGCGAAGTGATTGAGCATTGTTTGCTGGTCTGCTTCAGAGTGAGCACCCAAGGAGCAGTCATCGATGAAGAGCGCCTTCTGGAGGAGTTTTGTGCTGATTTTTGTCTTGGCCTTCAGGCGACGTAGATAAAAAAAGAGAGCCGTCCAGTCGATAATTTAGGTATATTCCCTTGTCAAGATCCTTGCAGGCGTGAGAAAGCATGGCGGTGAAGAAGATATTGAAGAGGACTGGTGCCAGGACACAGCCTTGTTTGACGCCATTTGTAATTCGAATTCGTCAGTCATGTTGCCACTTGCACTCATGTCTGTGTGGAAGAGCTGGATGATCTTTAGGAACTTAGGAGGTTGGGGGG